GGTATATTAGCGTATTTACTTTGTTCTCTATCTTATCTTTTTATGTTTTACAGCTTGTTAGGCTCAATCTTTTTAGAATGCATTCTGAGAGAATTTTACAGGCTCTTAAGCATTAGGTGCCCCAACTTCATAGATAACAGAGCACATTATTGTACTATCATCAGAATGATTATATGAATGTATATTCCTTGCCTATGTAAGAACAAAGAGCACACAGTTCCATCATATATCATTTTTATATTCTTGGCTAATACGCATACGGAAACTGGTCTGCTTGGTTCTATCCACATGCATGTGCATTTAAATACATACATACAAACATATGCATGTATACACATGCACACGCACATCAACTTTATTCTGACTGACTGACTGATATACTGAGTGACTAACATGGATATGTGGCGACTTTTTGTGTGGTCAAATTATTTAAATTATAAAAAAGAAAATAATAACTAATAAGAAACGATAATATTTATTTTATTTTGTTTTGTCGATGTCAAAAGCTGACGCGAATTATATCAATTTCAAAATAATTGATTTGACCCGGGCAATGCCGGGTAATGCCTTCCACTGTATATGTACATATGTAAATAAGTAGGTTAAGATGAAATGTCCGCTATGCGCTATGTTGTTGGATCGAGAATATTTAACTAATTTTTAGCACATTATTAAAATAGATGCAAAATGTAATTTACTCTGCACACACGCATACACATGCACGCACGCACACACAAGCAAAACAATGGGATAAATTAGCACAGTGTCCAAATTATTTAGCACAATTTATGCAAATTTGCATTAAACCGAACCAAAAAAATTCCAGTTTTTCTTAATGTTTCTGTGCCATGAGCAATAAATAATGAAAATGCGAGCCAGTCAGTGCTGCCAATTTGGCCATTTTATCGCCGTTTACCGCTAGAGTGGGATATATTTTTCCATTTAAGCAATATGTCTTCAGAATTTGGGAATGCTTAGAAATGAAAAATTCTGTTAAAAGGAAAAACTTGTTTATGAAACAGCGGTAATAATATGAATAAACCCGATTTTGATTCGAGGGCGATAAAACTGTAGAACATATTCTGGTGGATTTTGCAACTGATCTTTAAATATTATTCTTCAGTAATAGATCCAGTTACCAATTTATATTGATATGTCTTAAAACCGGGAAATTACAAGCACTTCACCTTTTTAATGAATGCAAATTACGTTCGTTTTTGCTAAGGGTTATTTAATGTTCGTGCCCATAAGTTGGCAGCTTTGGAAAGGGCACTAATATGGAACAGAACTTGAGCCTAATTTATTTGATTTCTCCTTACATCGAGAATCTTTCGCAGGTGCACTACACTGGCGTGTTTGACTGCTTTGCGAAGATGTACCGGCAGGAGGGCATCTCGTCGTATTGGAAGGGCCTGATGCCGCCCATTCTGGCCGAAACGCCGAAGAGAGCCATCAAGTTTCTGGTGTTCGAGCAGACGAAATCGCTTTTCCAATTTGGGTCGCCGACACCGACGCCGCTGACATTCTCGCTGGCGGGCTTGACGGCCGGCACACTGGAGGCAATAGCCGTAAATCCCTTTGAGGTGATCAAGGTGGCGCAGCAGGCGGATAGACAGAAGAAGATGGTTAGCACCTTTGAGGTGGCACGCGACATTGTCAGACGCGATGGCCTTGGGCTGCGAGGATTGAACAAGGGCCTGACGGCAACCATGGGTCGCAATGGTGTATTCAACATGATCTACTTCGGTTTCTACCACAGCGTCAAGAACGTGGTGCCAGAGAGCAAGGATCACACCTGGGAGTTTATGCGCAAGGTGACCATTGGCTTCCTGGCCGGCACGCTAGCCTGCTTCGTCAACATACCCTTCGATGTGGCCAAGTCTCGCATTCAGGGACCGCAGCCAGTGGCCAATCAGATCAAGTATCGCGGCACCCTGAGCTCCATCGCGACCGTGTACAAGGAGGAGGGCTTCCGGGCGCTATACAAAGGCCTGGTGCCGAAGATTATGCGCCTGGGTCCCGGCGGTGCCATCATGCTGCTCGTTTTCGACTACGCCTACGATTACTTGTTGATGAACCACTCGTAGTCCATCACAAAATTAAATATAGGAAATTGTTATTTTTTTTCTACTCAAGCCTGAAAATGTTTAGATCTTATAAAACCTAAAAGCATGCATATAATTACAATTCATATGTACATGCAGCTTTGTATCCATAAGTTAATAATAACTAAATTTTTTTTTTTTTAGTCCTATTTGTGTTTCTTTTAGACGTTTTTATATCCTGAACCAATTAAAAATGGGTAAGGCAAATCGAAATGGGCTAAAGGCAAAGCTATTCAGTTTTGGTCAAGAAGTAACATTTCTAAACCCATGAAGTGCATTCTTCAGAGATTATAGGATTAATGATAAATAGTTTACTTTTTGGATGAAAAATATAACCTAGTCTATTGGCATTTAACACATTTGGTCTTCATATTTAGGCTCTGCCAAGTTGAAAAGCATGTGACTTTAAGCACGGAAGTTTCTCTTTTTATTTATTATACCCTGAACCCATTAAAAATGGGTATAAGGGTATATTGTATTTGTGCGAAATACAAATGTATGTAACAGGCAGAAGGAAGCATCTCCGACCCCATAAAGTATATATATTCTTGATCAGCATCAATAGCCGAGTCGATCTAGCCATGTCCGTCTGTCTGTCTGTCCGTCCGTTCGTCCGTCCGTCCGTCCGTATGTATGAACGCAAGGATCTCAGAACCTATAAGAGCTAGAGAAATTTTAGATGTAGGTGCTCCTAGTTCCCGCGCAGATCGAGTTTATTTCCGATAAGCGATAACTTACTCCGTTTCCAAGCAATCGATAAAAATCTTTATCGATATCCTGTTTTTTGGGCAATTTTAGTACATATTAAAAGCTAGAGTCACCGAACTTGACATATACCTTCTAAAATAGAGAATATATATGTGCATTTGATGTTGGAAGAAGAGGGTTTAGGGTATCCCCTAGTCGGGAGCTTCCGACTAGAAATTCTTACTTGTTTTTTATCATTTTAATTTGTTCAAACCCCATCTTTGAAAAGTACAAGTTAGACGTTTTAAAAAGCACGCCCAAGCTTTCATTAAGATATGTTTTTAGATATATTAGCAAGTTTTCGTTTTAAAGAGCTTATTAGACTTAAGAATATGCAGCAATTGTGCGTTATATTTCAGTACCACTTCAACAAAAACTATATTTCGAAGATTGTTCCTATAGAAACTATATTATAGAGCAGTCTGTTGTCAAAAAGACAGCTGATACGTTTGAAGTACAGCAAAGCTTTTGAATGCCAAATTTAGTTATTCCTGCTAGATATATGATAAAGTATTCCGATTCCAACAGATTGTCTGCACATATATACTCGGCTGTTGATACGGATTGTGAATATATATTAAGGGTTCGTAGTTAAGTTTAACTTCAGTCTGTTTAAAACAAAAGTGTTTTTAGTTTTTTCTATCGCCTAACATCTCCCATCATACGCTTAAATAATGCTATAGTTGTATTTTAAAGCTCCAAAAAGTATGCGACACAATAAGAATATAATGGAACAGTGGCCTGTTGCTTATAAAGCATACTTCCAGACTGAACACGCTTAAACACTTGCGATATATAAATGTATATGCACACATATATGTATGTTCTGACTGGAAGAGAATTACAATCACGCAGTCCGTGAACATCTTTTGTTTTATTTTCATAATTAAATTGATTTGTATAACCTAATTCATAAGATAAATCTGTATACATGTGTTTAAATATACTTTATGTATTTTGTCTCGTTTCTTGTATATTTAGATGCCAGCTGTATAATTCTTGTTGCAATTTCCACTAACTGTTTGGGAACTGACAATTTTTTTCTTCAACATTTATATCGAGTTATTGTACATATATATTTATAATGCATTCGTGTATATAGAACCATTTATATAGTATTTATATATATATATATATAGTCAATTTCATTGGATTTCAATTATATATATTGGCAGAAGCGAGCAATTGGTTGTTTATTTTTTTGTTTATCATTTCTATAATCCTCCATCATTGTTATTGTTATTTAAAATATGTAAATGTAATAATAATTATATAACTGAAACAATTTTTTGTTAGCTTTTTACAACACATTTAAGGTAAAAAAAAACACGTATCATAATTATAAATATAATCAGTAAATTGCATTCACAGCAAAATGTGTCTTCACTTGTTTGCAGTTGTTGTTTTTTCTGTAGCAATTTTTTTTTTGTTAAGTAACGTTTAATCGTCTTTTGAGGCATTGTTGTTAATTTCTTAATATTTTTTGGACAACAGACTAAATATATATATATATATGTATATGTGCAACTAACTTAAAAATACATAATCAAATTTACAAAAAAAAAATGGTGATTATCAAGCCAAATCTTTTGTTAAACTCGCTAATTGCGCTATGCTACTGCATTTGCTTATTTTAAGCATATTAAATTGCATAGTTTCGCATAGTTATATTAAGAAAATAAATATGATTTATTTTAATTAGTTGTATTTATATGTTTATAAGATTTGTTTGTTTTGTGGTTGGGCAACATTCTCAATTTTTACGATAAAATCCAAAGATCAAATGATAAAAACACGTCATGTAAAATAATAAACTTATAAATTTTGCTGCATGTCTTTCTGTGTGTATGTGTAGGTGTGTGTATTTGTATCTGTCTGTCCGTCTCCTTGCGTGTGTGTGTCTGTGTGTGTAACACACACTGCCCTGTGAATTTCCACCTCAAAATGCATCCGATGTATCTGTGTGTAAATGTATATACATACATATATCTCCTGTATACATATATATATATATACATACATTCATATATATATATATATAGATATGTATATATACATGTTTGTTTATATATGCATATATATATACATATATAAATATCGCCTGCTGCTCTATCCATAGCATTATGAAAAAATGCATTTCTGCCACTCTTCAGTTACAGTCCATCATCTTCGTTGTTGTTCGCGCCGACGCGTTCAAAATGCAATTTAAGGATAATAACAAAAACAATCAGGAACAATATTTAAAAAAAAAAAGTAATTAAATTTGAAAAATCTATTCTAATCTAATGGAACGATGGTGGCGGCCACTTCGCCCCGGTGCAACTGCTCCAGTTCTAATAGATGCGCTCGTAGAACAGCAGATATGCCTGTGCCTTGAGGGCCGTCTTCTCGCTAACCTCCTGGACACGTGAATCTGACACGTAATACCATTTGCCGGGTGGTGGCTGCACATTGGCCGCCTCATCTGCTTCGCCGTTGGCGATGCCAGCCGGCTGATCGCCAGAGGTAGCAGCAGTTGGTTCGTCATCGGCAAGGCCATTGTTTAGATCGGAGGAGGCCTCGTCTGAGGTGGACGCATTGCTGCTGGAGCTGGTAAAGTCATCGCTGTCATCCATGGCATTCATGCGCATCTCACGGGCCTTCTCCTTGACCAGCAGCTCTTCAAGCTTTTTCAGCTGCTCATCGTCCTGATCTAGTTCGGCCTTGCTGCCATGCGGCAGGAATTTCCAGCGCTTGTCATCAGGTGTCACCTTCGGACGTACCTTTACATAGGCGGTGTAGTGTCCGCCATATAAGCCGCCCGAGTGCTCGACTACGCCATAGAGCGCATAGAGCAGCTTCTTCTGTTTGCGATCAATGTTGGGCAAGTTCTTTACCTTGGATCCGCAGAAGGCGGCTATGTCCAGCAGCACCGAGTAGCTGACCTGCTGCGTTAACTTACGAAAGATGCAGCGCGGGCCCAGCTGGAATCTCTTTAGATGCAAAATGAGCACTGCCGGCGGACTGGATACTAGAAGCTGCTTTGTCGCATTCGTGTTCACAGATTTAGCCTGCGGGTCGGGGCCGTTGATGCGGCGCGTGCAACTCTCGCAGCCGACCTTGTTCTGACCAGTCATTAGCTCGACGGCGGTAAAGTTATTGAGACACGACGGAACCGAGCATTCTCCCACCTCGCACTGATAACGCGGCGCAATCGTGGTGCTCCAGTCCGAATAGCTTTGCGTACGCACACGTTTTGAGCGGGCCACAATCTGGGCCTGCTCGCGCAGTTTTAGCTGTTCCATCTGCAGCTGCAGCTGCAGCTGCCCCGAAGAGAATTGGCGCATCTGCGAGGCACCCTCCTCGCTCAGCCCGGCATTCACTAAACTGGCAACTGTGCTGCCAACCGCTCCGCCATTGTTCGCTTCCGCTACATTGCTGGCTCCATTATTATTATTATTGTTGTTGCTATTGCTTTTGTTGCTGGTGGTGCTGGCAGCGCTGTTGGTGGTGGTGGGTGCCGGACTTGTGGCTATGCCTGAGTCTGTAAAGAAAAACATAAGTAGAGTGAGAAGGAATGATTATTTGCTGTCCCTTTCACCTGAACATATAAAGAGCTGCACATATAAGGCTATATCAGATCCATATTCAAATACTTATATAAACCTATTCCAGTTGTCTCTTAAAATTATAAATTTACTCACATTGTCTTGGAAACAGTTACTCAAAGAAAAAAAAAACTGATAATACCTAGCAGCTGTATAAAAAAGTGATACCGTGCTGTCAAATGGATATATTTGTGTACTACCCAAAGACGGACTTGTTCGCATACAGATAGATGGACGGATTATTTATAAATTACAGGTTGTGGGACAGAAATCGAATATCTATATCCGTAGAGTGTGAAAACTATATGTATTAACAACTCCCGCAACATCGAGGAGGCTTTCTTTAAGTACTTCTAATGACATTGAGTACCGAAGATAACTTTTGCAGGTCTGTAACTCCAGCTTACCATTCTCGTCCTCCTCCAGCGAATCCTTGTCCATGTGTTCGGGCGTATCATCGCGTTTCTCGCTCAGCGGCTGCGCGTTGCCATTGTTGTCCGTATAGAACTTGGCCCCGCTGCCCGTTGCCGTGTCTTCAACCAGATTGTCCTCTACATCAGCATCCGAATGCTCGGATGTTGTTGCGCTTAAGGATAGTGTATCTGCGCGCGGACCTTCACCCCAGGCCGCGGAGCGTGTTTTCTCGCCGTTGGTATCGGCAGACAGTGGCTGTACTTGCCCCTGCCCATCGCCACTACCGGGCTGCTGATCAACATCGGCGTCACCATCACCACCGCCACCGCCGCTGTTAGACTCATCGTTAATGTTCAGCTTGAGGGAAAGCTTTTGGGCTTGTTTGGTGCGCTGGTGTTTGGCAGCCCTTTTGGCCTTGCGCTCGCGCTCCTTCTCCTTCTTCACCTGTGCCTTGGAGGGCCCCAACGGTTCCTGCCCGTCAGCGTGTAGATAGAACGGAGGCGATGTCAAGCCCACATCCGACTCGCCGTTGCTGAGCTTGGTGTTACTACTGTTGAAAGCGGAGGCAGGCGAGTTCTCGGGACTAGTTTTGCGGCGCTGTGGTGGCTGCGGCTTTTCGACTGCCACGGGCAGCGACATGTCCAGAAAGTACTCGTGACGCGAAGAGACGTTAAAACAATCCTGACAGGTCAGCGTCGAGACAAGAAAACCGCGAAACACTTGTTCCGGGCGCAGTATGCGATCAGCTGCCTGATTCCCATAGATCTTGCACTTCTGGCGCAGTTCCTCAGACACGCTGTTAATATCCTGATCCTTATATCCTAGATTCTGCAAGATGACACGTTGGTAGCGCTTCAAATCCTCGGAGCGTACGCTTTCCAGCAGTTGACGCAGCAGCTCGTGGGCGTCGTGCTGATCGCCGCCAGTAAACTGTGGACATTTGGCGCACAGCTTGTCAAAAAGCTTGCTGGGCGTAAAAACACCACCGCCGGACTGAAGTTCCTCCAGTGCGTTGGCAAGGGCCGCAGTGAGATTGCCCCACGAAGAAAGCGTGCCCTTTATCATAGGCAGTTCAATGTCGCCCTTATCTTTAAAGTTGAAAGTGCCGCCGGGCAGCACAAATCTAAAAATGGACAGAATTAATAAAAGTGTATGTGTGTGTGGTTGTACTTGTTAGTATGTATGCACTTACTGCTCTCCGGGCTCGGCCAGCTCCTTGAGAACGGCTAGCAGAAACGGTGTCTGCGCCAGACACTGCATGACGGCATTAAAGAAGCAAGTATTGCCCAAATTGGTGAGGCCACGCACGCGTGGCAAGCGATCTAGCTCTGGACTGCCTAGCGATGGAGAAGCCTGTGTAGCCGCTGCAACCGACTGGTAATTTGCGCGCTTGTCCAGCACACGCTTTGCTATGCCCGGCACTGAGCCAATGCTGGTTGGGGGCGGCGGCGGTGGTGGTAGCGGTATGGCCCCATTGCCGCCATTGGCATTCACTGGCAGTGAGATCTGTTTGCCGCCAGTCATGGGCACAATGGGGCTCAGATGCTCCATACTTGACATTATTTTGTACTGAATGTTGTTAATTGTTTGCTGCGCCTCTGTTTTTGCATTGGCCACAGCTGTGGGCGGCTTCTGGGCCAGACGCTTCACCAGCTCGACGCACTCGAGCAGATTCTTGCGCGAATTGGCAGACACCTCGTTGTCACATTCGTAGCACCAGATCTTAAAAGAGCGTGTATTTAATGCCAGTGCATGCGAGTCCGAGTGCGGTTTCTGAAAGTTGCACGAAAGGAAAGCGAAATTAGCACATACCAGGATTAGAATTGCGACTCTTCTTACCTTAAAGTGCTGCAGTGCGTGCTCGTTGCGCTGACGGCCGCACAGCTGTGTACCGCACTTGAGGCACAGCCAGAGAGTGTTGTCGTATTCACAGTCAGTGGAATCGCCACCCGTGCCATTGGGGAGATTGAGTTTCTGGCACTGTTGGCACTCGTAGAGCAGACCCGTGGATTTTAGCTGGCGGCGGAGGCGTGTCGTGTCGACAGCCTTCTTGATGTGCTGGCAAACTGTAGCGGCGCTTCCAGCACCGGCATGTCCATTCATCAGCTCCTCCTCGCCGGAGTCTGTCGAGCTGGTGCCCTCTTGCGCGTCAGTTTGACGCTTCTTCACCATTATGCCGCTGCAGTTGTTGCGGTTCCTCAACTGACCCAGCGGCCGTCTATTCTCTCTGCTGACACGCACTGAAATTGAATAGGAGTAGACTGTAGCTAGGACACGAGCGACGAGCAGCACCACTGCTCGTATCGTTCGCTCCAAATAGTGGTATATGCAGTAGGGGAATCTTGGTCTGGTGCTCTCGCTCTTCTCTATGATTTGGCTATTGTTGTTGTTGTTATTGCTATTATCGCTGGTAGTTGTATTGCTGTTGTTTTTTTTGTTATAACAATTGCGTACTCGGTTCTCCATTGAGCACTTTTCAGAGCACAGCGATTCCCAGTTTATTTAAATGTTGTTTCTGCTTTGTCTACGTTTTACGTTTGCGATGACTGATTACAAATTCTGATATGGATTGTAAACTGATTTGACGTCGATTTGACATCGGTTAGCAATTGGCCCTCTTTGTTGTTTGCGACACCCTAACAGGGGTACGTTATTATAATTATAACAAACCGTTTGTAACGCCTGACAGATATGTATGTTCATATCAAGTTCATATACCTTAACTATAAGCTAATTTGGAAGTGAATGTTTTGCATGTAAATAGAACGTTGATACGTTGATTCCCACTTTCCAAATGGAAACAGAGCAAACAATTTTCGCTTTGTTTTGAATTAAACAACCTAAAAGATAGACGATTATTCTGATAAGAGCTAAATTATTGAATTAGTGAACCAGTGTTGATAAATGCTTGGCCCAAATTTAAGGAGCATCGAAAAGGATGATTTTACAAGAACTTAATTTTTGACCGACAGTTTTTATAGATAGTAATTATAGTCTTTACATATTTCTTTTATGCTCTTTAGTTCATTTCAATTTCGCGAGAAATGTTTTTTCTTCTCAAAGCTAAACTAATACAATATTTGTTCAATTTGCAGCTGCGCTGCTAAGAATGCCTTTAGCTCTAACTAGTTTAGTCTTCATGGAAGGGTGTTAAAACTTCGGCAAGCCGAAAACAGCTATGCATGTTGTGTGTTGCGGTTGTTTGTTTGTATGTGCGAAGGTGCTCTTAATTAGGGCTGACTTGCAGTTTGGTGTGCGAAGGGGGGCTCCAGTATAATATTTTAATTTTATATATATATATATATATTTTTTTTTTTTTTTATTAATTCTGGGGTCAAATCTTTGACGCACGTCCACTGGCACGCAGCGCCTCCAACAGCAGCTAGCGTTGCTGTTTGAGGTTAAGTTTAAGTTCATGCGCTGCCATATTGGGCAGCAGCAGCAGCAGCAGCACCAGTCGCAGTCGCAGTCCCCGTCGGAGCATTGTTGTGCTTCGTGTTTGTCTTTGTGTTTGTGTTGTCTGTCGTGGGAGCTACGCAACAATGCAGCTGCTATAAAAACAGCACACACTGGAATCGCGGGGACAGTCAACCGAATTTTTGACAATATATACAACAAAAATACGCACGCACACGCATACAAGCGTGCGCGCAAACGACACGCACACACACACATACATGCACATACACGCGCGCATGCAGTCGAGACAGGATAGGCAGAATGGTTGGATTTTTGTTGCCCCCAAGTCCAGTTGCCACAGATTTTTGCAAACTCATCGTCAGTCCGATGGGTCGTTTTTGTTGAATTACCTTGAGTTAGATTTTGCAATATGCGTTGAACATCAATTATTCTATCGTTTTGGTAGATTTGCGTCTAACCACTTCGTAAACACTAGGCAAACAAAAAAACGTGAGCTTGAACTGCGTTCGCATTCGCATTTAATAAGTAAAAGAAAACATCGGAACAAATAAATCGATTTTGCAACAAAATGCAACCATATTTAATCGATGCTACTCACTGAGATGTGCTGAGGCATCGATATGACGCAGTGACAGCTATGTCATCGAACGTGGCGGTCGGTCGAAAAAGTACATCGATATCTACATGAGCGCGCATTTCAAATGTTAAAATAATAATAAACCATTTTCAAGCGAGAGCCTGATTTTGTGTATTAGACAGCTAAGTTAAGAAAAACAAATGGTATAAAGATTTTTTTTTTTAATTATGTTTCAAAGAGCTTCAGGTAATTTACGTTGATTTTTTTCTGTTTTGCACTTCTAGTACACACTGGTATGAATAAATCATTCGAGACCAAATTTATTATTTCCCCTAGACTAGGTACACTTGGCCAACTAAGTGAGTCAACCCAAAAGCCTTGAGTCAGTCAACTTAATTCAGCAATCAAAGGCGAATATGCAACAGCCACAACAAGAGCAAAGAGCACTAAGAATATGAAAGAAACTTGATATTGAAAACCCTATCATAAAGAAAACTTCCAGACATAAACTCCCTATAATTACCAACACCCTGAATGTTGTAAATGCATCAAAATTGTACCGCCCTTCAGGGCAATATTTTATGTGGTGGCCGCGACGAAGACCATAAAAACGCTCCTCAGAGCTGAAACGGGTATACGTAAAGCGAAAGAGATGAGAGATGGAGACAAAAAAAAAAAAAGAAAAAACGTGCATTCAATTTTGAGTTGGGTCTCGATGCTGCGGATCGGTCCCATTTCGTTCCAATCCCTTTGTCTTTCCGACTGTCTGTCTGTCTTTCGGTCGGACAGTTGGACGGTCGGTCTCTGTCTGTCCGCCATGCTGTCCGTTCGCTTAATTTGCTTGAATTGAGTCGTCATCAGTATTATGATCATTATTATCATTTTTATCATTGAGATCATCGCAACTGGTAGCTTTAGTTTTTCCTTGGGTGAAAATTCCTCGAGAGGCTTTGTGCCCCTCCGCTTATAGTAATTGCCCAATAATGCTTTGTATACAAATACTCCCCGAACACCTGTCCCAGTTCCGGCAATGGCATCCACACACACACACACAGACACACACACAAATGTACCTCAAATTAAATGCAAGAAGACACAGGAACTGTGCACATTAAAGTCCTATAATGCATAATAACATCAAAGATAATTTCGCAAAAAAAAAGTTAAGAAAATGTTGCCCGCATTGGACACAGCAAGTCATGCCGGCCAGAGAGTAGCAGAGTAACGGAGACAGAGAGAGAAAGAGGGAGAGGGAGGGGGAAAAAGTTTACATTCATCTTTCCTCTGCCAATCCCAAAGCCATTCCCAGTCCCCAGCTCGAAGCCCCATCCCTTCACGGTTCCCAGTACAAATTTGCTGTAATGAATATTTCGCAGAAGACGTAAATCGATTCCTGGACGGCGGCTGCCGTTTGGCCCTTCCTCCGCTCGTCCGGTCGTCCGCCCGTCCGCCCTTCCGCTCGCCCGCTCGCCCGCTCTCTTCTGGTCGCATTCTCAGCCGCATCATCATCTTCATTATGTGCATGCAATGTGCAGGTTAGTAGAAGTTTTTTTTTATACCCTGTATTAATATATATCTCTATATATAAAACTGTTTGTCCTGACTGACTGACTGACTGACTAATTGGCTGACTGATTGATGACCAACGCACAGCCCACATCGTAAGAGCTAGGAAGCTCCAATTTTCACTGCACTTACCTTATGTGATGAAGGTGCATGATAAGACGGGGCTTCCGGAAATTCCACCCGCAAGTGTGGAAAAATCACGCAAAACGTTTGTATACAACTTTTTTGTTCACCATTCGATCGGCATTAACTCAAATTCATTTGAGGTGCGTTTCACACTTTTCGGAAAATCCATTCCTCTTCTTCATAATGGCAATGATTTGGTGGCTGCCGTTTTGCTCTCAAATTCGTTTCCAAGGATCTACATAAAAAATCATTTGCGACGTGTTTCACATCATTTATTTGGTGAAGCTTTAGGTCCGATTGTCCGATTTGCTTCAAACATATTTTCAATGCTCTATATAAAAATACAATGAATACGTGTTTCAGCAATTCGGGAAATTCCACCTGCAACAGTGGTTAATTGGCAAAAAAAACTTTAGTATGATAGTTGTTTGTTTACCGAACGATCAGATTCAAAATTATTTTCAAAGCTTTGTGAGAACATTTATTTTATAATAAAACATGGCACGGGCAAGGCCGGATTATACCCGTTAGCTTAAATTTATTTATATATAAATGTATGCATGTATATATAGTCTTTATCCAATAAGTCCAATCATTCTTCAGTATATAACAAAATGTATGTGATAATGAATGGATTCTTCTCTTCCGAACACGAGGTATCTTGTATTGCTTCTTCTTTTTATTGGGTTACTGCTGAGTTGGCTGAGACTCATGCGCCCTGTGCCTGGGTCCTCAGGCTTATGGTGTTTGTTTGGAGGCTAACTCTGATACTTTTTATTGAACGGCTTAAATGTTGTGGCCAGATTAATATGGTTTTATGGTTTTAAAAAATCGAGCATAAGTTTGACCTACGTAAAGCAAGGACCCGGTTTGAACCAACCTATCGAACCGTGAATTTCAAACTTTGAATAGAGCATGAACGGAACCTGTATCCGGGTTAGTTGCATGAAGAAAAGAGAAAACTAAACCATATTCAAAAAGGATCTCTTTAAATATATAATTTATATTTAAATTTGAAACCATGTGGCAAATCAGGCTTCATGCCCGATTCATAAAATGTAAAAACCAGTTTCAGTGTGTTTGTATGCAACTTCTGATTGAGAAAATATAAATATTATGGGAAAATATATGCCCCAAGGCTTAACGTAAGCTACATTACATTTTCCTGAAACGGTTAGAGGCAAGTAAACTGTTTTATAGCATTCAGCCCATTACCATCCCAATTAGGCCTTAGTTAGGTTTCCCCCAGCTCCGACTCGGCTTCGATTTAGCCTGATATTACAAATACTCGGCACAAGCTGATTGACTAGTTAGCTGGCCAATTTGATGGCTTACGTTTTTTTGTGACTCATTAGAATTTCTCTCTCTTTCTTGCCGGCCCGGGCAAGCTGTGCAAGTGCTGCTCGCTTGTCTAGGTTACCCAATCGTCTATGTGAGGTGAGTCAGATAATGCTTTGGACCTGAGCCACATTTTATGTTAGTCTAACCAGCGTGGGATGGTTGAGTGCGAACCTTTCTTGAGAGCAACTAATGCTTGAATTATGTTAAGTCAAAAAGACGATTATATAAAGAGTTTGCATACTAGGATTAAGCATGATAGTTAATATACTTATGTAGGGAATTTTCTTGAGATAAACCGATTGATATAAACATAAAACTCCCATTGCTAATATCCCCAGCCGTATTTAACAGCATGCTTAGCTGCCTTACGGCAATGAAACATTTGTTGATCGTTTCCACAATTAAAAACCATTTTCAATTGGCAACATTCTGCCTGGTCTAATGCAGGCTGTATGCAATTTCTCTTCCCATGATGCACTAACAGTGGCTATGCTAACTATGCCATGAAAAGTGTGTGCCCAAAGAAGTCTAAATCTTAATATTCTTAATTATTCTACCAATAAAGAGACATTTTATAATTTACTAACATTTTCTTTTAAATTGAACAAACAAATTGTCATTGATTCGGTTCACGATTCGAAGCTTACGATTTGGTTCAATTCTAATTTAGTCGTATATTTTAAATTTTTTTATAAAATTCAAACTACTTATGAAAATATTGCTAGATATAGTAAACATATTTTCATAGAGAAGTTGCGGGCTAGTTTTGATGTCTACCCGAAATTGGCATCTACTTAATATGGTTGAAAAAGCCAATGGTTGGGCTCAAAATTATTTAATGCATTGGGGCGGAGGCTTCTTATAAGATTTTTGAAAAACAACACGTTTCGGGTTGAGTCTTGGCTTGTAGAAGGAATAAATTGGAATTCTAGGTTCGAACTATCACGGTTCAAACCCGACTTGTATAGACTTAGAACCGTTAGGTTAAGCTAGGTTAGGTTAAGTTAGATGCACTGTCAACTAGATTAAGATGTTTGATCGAAAGTCTTAAGGGTATTTATTTGTCGGACTTTTTTCGGACTGTTTTCGCTCTGCTTTCTGGTTTATTGCTGCACCGCGTTTGTTCTTGGCCAAATTGCGCAATAAATTACGCTGCATATGCAACATGGGCTGGCCGGAGCTGTTGGCTGGGACCGCTGTGGCGCCCCGAGGATTGCGTGTATTTAAATCATATTCCATTTACAGCTTCTGTTGGCCACATGCAACCGCATCCAGCCGCTCGTCAGTTTGTTGCTGTTGTTGTTTTCATTTTTCTTTTATTACAGCTCGCTTCAGTGGCACCCACATCGGAGACGGCAGCGTCTCAGCTTCAGTTGTGTGGCACACAGTTCCTGGAAATGATACAGCAGAAGTTGCTGCCACAGCGAGCCGGGTTGAGTGCCGTTCATCTTCATCCCCAGTTTCATGGCCTCAAATGAATTTAAATTGGACTCGGCGCACAATTTCAATAAATTAGTTCAGCTCCGCGTCGCGTCTACCTGTGCGCCGTGCGGCGTCTCAAAGGAGCGCGCCTATCGCTCCGTTTGTGCCACTCTCTTGGCCTTATCATTGTGCGGCAACAATTGCATTTGCCGGCTTGTTGCCGCCGCCCGTTGTTATCATTTAATGAACGCCCCGCTCGCTGTACAGCTGCAGCTCCGACTGCAGCTTAATTTTCAGCTAAGTCGATTGCCATTTGATGCCTTCTGACTGCAGCTGCCACGCTGCCACGACGCCTCGATGCCCCGCTGCCCCGCTGCCACACGTGCGTTATCTTAAGTAAATGGCCGACTTGCCCCAAGTTGCGGCCGTTCGTTGCTGCGGGCCAAGTTTTCTGATGCAGTGCATTGCAATGTTAATATAGCGATAATCAT